ACTGCCTGCCTGCACCCGAGGCTCGTCTCTCTCTGCCCGCATAGCAGAAGGTGGGAGAGAGCGTGCTTTGGACCATGTTATGACTGTTACATTTATGTGCAGCAAAAGTATTTTGTTTCTGCACAATTACACTAAACGTGGTGGTGGGGAATGTGTTACTGCACCCCCACAAAATTACATGCGGGTTTGCATCTCTTTCAGAGGAAACTTGCATGAGCTGGTGCTGCAGAGGATCACGCTGGGCTGACCTATACCCCCCTGCCCCATGGGCTTTGCTCAAGAGAAGGGGATGAGCCCCTTCCTTCCCTCCCCACTGTGGTGCGCTTTGCTGACCTGCAGTGGTAGTGGGCACGGGATCTGTGTGTTGTTAGAGGTGCTCTCCCTCGTCCGGTGGAGTGACCCAGGAGTGGCACTGGCACGTGGAGCTTTAGCTGCTGCGTCCAGTGACTCTGGCTGGGGCAGGGGCTGGGGAATTGGGGGTTGGACTGCTTCTTCTTGGGATTCTCTCTGAGATGCGCTGAAGTTGGAAGTCCTTTCCAGGATGGATGCTTGGCAGTGTTCCTTTTAGTGTTTCTCAAACGCTGCATGAAAACATGCTGTCCTGGAGCCTGGCAGGGACACCACTGCAGTCACTGAAAGTGTCCTGTAGGATGGAGGACATTAGTCCGGCCTTTGCATTTCCTGGGGGGGGTGCCGAACAGCACAGGCTACTGAAAGAAGGCTCTACACGTTATAGGACAGGCTCTGTATTTATTTCCTGACTAATTATGCAAAAAGATAAAAGGCTAGACTTTTTGAAATATTTGGGGACCATGTTTCAATTCTCCTTGAATGCTTTTGCGTACTACTAAGTGTAACTTGTACTTGTGTGCAAAAAATACCCTGCATTATACCCTAAATCCATGCAGGGCTGGGTCCCACAGATAGGCTGGCACAAACTAAGTAGGCAGCGGCCTCTGGCACCAGGCATGTAAGGTGGGACCCGGGCAGCCCTGTTGTCCATCTCACCGCAGTGGCCTGGGGGTCTGCACCTAATTGGAGCTGCCTGGGCTTCAGGACACTTTCTGGCCTCAGCAGCGGGCCTGGATGGTGTCACCTGGAGCCATTTAGGGAGGGTGGTGCTTTGGGGACACTTGCAGTTTGCCGAGGAAAAAAGTTCCAAGTGTCTCTGCTTTGTTCGCTGTGTCTGAACCTGAAGCTAAGGCAGCTTGTTGCTTTCTTGCCCTCCTTCCTTCCATCGCTGTGCTCACAGCATCTATTCAGCATTTTAAAATGTACAATACAGCCTCTCAGTGCACTAAAGGGCATTTCATCCTGTTTTGCAGTGTTGATAAATATCACAGCACAGAGAATGGCAAAGAAAACAGCTTCAGTCCGCTCTAAACCTCAGCCCTTGCTGAGCAAAACTGTGCAAGGAGAAGAAGGGTTTTGTGCCCGCTGATTTAACCTCCAGAGGACATTTTTCCTCCTGGGCTTGAAGCAGCAGTGAGATTTGGAAGAGCAATCATCTGTGTTTGTCTTACTCTGCTGGGCCACCTGCCTGTGTGAGGGGTATTACTGAGTGTGCCCCAGTGTATATGCAGAGCAAACACTTTCTGCATTGCTGATAGTCTCTTGCTTTAACATCTGCCCTGGGCAATGCCAGTAGGCAGAGGAAGATCCAAGGAAGCAGCTCCCAAGTGACTGTGTCTCCAGAGTGTTCTGTTTTACCACTTGTAGTTTTAGCATGATCACAGGTGGTGCTTTTTCTTAAAGGCTAAGTTTTACCAGTGGAGGCAATTAATAGTCCACATCTCAGCTGCTGTTACAGATGGAGAATTTGTCTGTTATGGTTGAGGAAGAAATTCTCAAAAAAATAATTCAAGACATATAATAACTCATTTTAAAACCTCAGAAACCACAAAGCCAATATACATGTTAATATTGTTTTAAATGTGGTTATTCTAAGCCAATTTTATGATGAAAAAGTATCCATATTTTGATTGGACTGTGATTTTGGAAAGCATTGGCTTTCAGGGCTGTACCATGTCTCTGAGCTGGGAGCTGATTTCTCCATGTTCCCTTATGGCCTGTTGCCCTGAATATATCCTGTGCTATTATTTGATATTATGTTCACAGAACAGACTACTGTACAGAGGTGAGGCAAGTTTGAGCATCACCCAGCTTGGGCACTGGAACTAGTTGTTTCTCTCTTACTTTCTGTTTGATAGGCATTTGGAGTCCTGAGTCCTGTTTAAATGAAAGGAAAAAAAAAAAAAAAAGCTGCCCACACAAAACTAGGAGCTGTCCTAGAAACATTTGACCCAAATGGTGAAGTGAGGCTAAATATCAGATTTAAGTGACTAGAAAAGCAGATAGGTGCCTGGTGTGTGTTAGGAAGCATCCTAACAGATTGGGAAGCGTCCTATTTTATTTTGGCTTTCAGTTGCAGTCAGGTGTCTAGCTGAGTTACTACTTTCAGTTCTCCTGCTACTTAACTGTGCCTTTCTGATGTTGCCTCTAGAGCATGTTAAAGGTCTTTATCAGCTGGCAGTCAGATATTTCCGATCACAAATCTGACAGTGTTCTGGGAGAGGGGAAAAAGACGTTACACTCTTCATCATCTGATTGTAACAAAACGTCTATTTTATTGTTGTCTTGGGGTTCAAAATACCAAACTCAGGACTTTGTAGCCTAGCATATTTGTATTTTAAAAAGCTTCGATGAAGCGCTCCCCTTTTCCACATAGCTTCCTTCTCTTTCAAATTCAGGTTGCAGAAACATAACAAAGATGCGAGTGTGATCCTGCCAGGTAGTCCAAAGGGCAGCCTCACTTCCATCCCATCTGCAAGGGTGGCCAGCTGGTAGCAGGCACTTTAAGAGAGCACAGGAAACAGGGCAAGTCTGAAACCCTTCCCTAGTCCAGCAACCTCAGTTTCTGGGACCAGCAGCATTGAGGTGATATCTAGACTGTCAAGTTCTGTAGGCACAGAGAGACCTATCTTCCTTAAATTAATCTGAGGATATTACTGTCTTTAATATTGCAGCTCAGTGTTTGCATTGCATTTTTCATTAGGGTAGGAGCAATATTAAAAATCTTCCCTTGCTTATGCTCTCTGAATAGCAGGAAATAACGCTGTTGATGCCTCCACTTTGCAAATGAGCCTTGGTCTGGAGCTCCTCTTCTGTTGTTACTGTTCTCTCTGTCAGGGCACAGCAAGAGTTGGCTGCTCCCTAAGGCATGGGGAACCAAGGTGGATAACACAGCTGGCAGGACAGGAGCCTTGCTAGCCAGGGCTCAGTCCCACAGTACCCAAGTGATGCAGGCCAGGGATGGCAGCCAGGTTCAGCCAAGAGTCCAGATCACCAGGCGAGCTCATGGTGCTGAGGCAAGTCCAACATCAGACCAGGAAGTCAGCTCACAGCTCAGAGTCAGGTCCAGTAATTGCCAGGCAGTTCCAAGGTCAAGCTGAGAAGTCAGCTGCAGGTTGGGGGTCTGGATCAACAGGGTCCGTAACTAGGCACAGCTGAGCTGGAAACCAGTACTCCTCCAACATAACTCAAGCGGGGACTAAAGGCAGCAGACTGAGCTTAAATAGAGCTCCTGGGCCTATGGTCAGGGGTGGGTGCAGACCCCAGGGGAGGCTGGTCAGGGCCAATAAGGCCTTCTAAGTGCCCTTCAGGCCATGACACGCCTTCTCTGACCTACTCCTTCTAATTCATGGCTAAACAAGTTGAACACTGCGGACTGTGTGAAAAACCTGATAGTATGCTGTGAACTTCATGCCCTCCTCCTACTTAACTCATGTCACTTGTGAAATGTAGTCTTATAACCAGTTAGAAGGAAATCAAGAGTAACTGCCCAGACAGAGAACTAAAAGGGGGAGGTCAGGGACTTCTGTCTTCTCCTGGGTAAGGGTTCCCAAACCAGCAGTTACAAGCCCCATCAAAGTGGTACAAGCCCCAGAGAGAGCCAGGAATAGCCGTTGCTTGTGGTGGAACCCACCACGCTCATTCCTTCTCTGGTGGTGCCGTGTAAGAAAAAACCCTTGGTGCTTGCAGGCTCTGAGCTGGGATCTCACAGCAAAGACTTTCCTAGATCATGTTGGTACCAGCAGTGACTGTCACGCTGTTCTCTGTTGGCTTTGCTCCTCCATTAAGTGGTACTTTAATGTATCTTATGGAGTGTCCTACTAGGAGATGGTGAAAAGGGACCATCTTCCACAGTGTCTCTCTCGCTCCCTTGTCAAATTTGTACTACTCAACTTGATTTCTTCCTTACTGCCTTCCAGTTTTATGCTCCGTGCCCAGGCAAGGTGATGGACAGCAGAGCAGAGATGGAAGTTGTAAGAAGCACAAAGGGGAACCCTGCTGGGGAGGTCAGCGTCCACGTGGTCACCACTGAGAGCACTGTGCAGAGCACCCACCTGCCAACAACTGCCTTCATCATACCAGGTATGTGGTATCCTCTGTATCCGCTGCCTCTACAGCCTTCTAACCATGGATCACTCCTCTCACGCTCCTTGTGTGTCTGTGCTCCTCACAAGCCCTAGGAAGCAAAGCAGTGCTGCTACGACCATCTCTGTGGCTGACCAAAATCTCCTAAGTCTTAAACTGAAGGTCTAATCTTTGGGCCAATGCAGCACAGTGTGCTGAGCTCGGACGCCTGCTTGGCAGTGCATGCAGGTGCCTGAGCTGTAGTGTTAGGGCTGATCTGGCCCAGCTGACCAGTGTCTTTCAAGAAGTGTGCAGGCAAAGCCCATGCTAGCCTGGATGTGCCTACGTTAGCATGTAGGTGAGAATGGGGGTTTGATTTTGAAGCAAATCTCCCAGTTGTTCCTGCTCCCTGAGTCTTAGTTCCCACTGTAGAGAAGGCCTGGCCTGCAAACTGCATTTCTTTAAAATGAAACTAACTTGCAAGATGCAATCCAGGTACTCACCACTACAGTCCTGCCACAACTGGGCATCCTGGCCATGGGGACAGGCTGAGGTGAGGCTAAAGTAAGACCTCCCTGAATGTGGATAGTGTGGGTGCCACCACCTATCAGAAGCTGCCTCTGGCTGCAGATCCTGTTGAGTCACACTATGTGCTCATGGATACTTTAGCCTACAGCACTGAGCCCCTGGCTAGGAGACTGTCCCCTCTCCATCACTTTGTGCTGCTTGGGGCTACTGCATTGCCTTTGTGCCTTGTTTGCATCTATGAAGTGTTTTCTGTATGTCTCTGGTTGTTTGTTTCTTTTCTTCCCATCTCCAGCAAATGCCACTACCATCAACCTTCCTGCAAGCACCTTAGAAATCCAGCGATTCCCCCGGGAGCCACAGAGAAACACAGGGGCCGAGAGGCCAGAGAGGGGAGCAGGGAACGAGCCCATCACAGCTACTGTCATCCCCCAGATCAGTGGGGTTCAGACCTGCAACACAGTCCGTGTGCTGGAGTGGAAAGACGGGGTGGCTACTCTGCCCGGGAGTAACCTGCGGGTAAGTGTAACCCTGGGCCACCGTGTTTGCCTTCCCAGCAGCTTGCCTTTGTCAGAGGCAGCCCCTAGGCCTGTGCTGGCCAGGGACTGCTTGGCTGTGATGCAGCCACCCTGGCAATACCTGCACCCCAGCTGGAGAATCCCTCGGCTGTTCCTGCTCTGCAAGGCTCTTCTTGTGCCCCATCCCAGCCACCCTGTGTTGTGAACTTAGCAGAGAGAGCGCACGCATGGCGCTTGGGGGTTGTGGCAGCTCTGTCCTTCTCAGGCGGCAGAGGGGTGCTGCTTGCTGTGCAGGGCATCTTGTGTTTCCAAGCTGTGCTGTAGAGTTGGCCAATTTCCTGTACTTACACTGCAAACAGTGGCCTTGCACTCCTCAGGCAATGGATGCCTTTAGATGTACCGAGGCTAGGGATTGTGGGGGCCTGGTAGCATGAAATAGCTTGCACAGAGTACACTTTCTCTCCTCCAATTTCTCAGCTGCTCTCAGGCCCAGGGCACCACATCCTCCAGCCATCACCTTGCCCCCATCGATGCTGCCAGCTGGTGCTGGTCTCGCCCAAGTGCAGGCAGAAGGCAGGGGAGGCTTGGGGGCTACATTCTCTCTTGTGCTTTGTCCCTCTCCTTGAGCCATGTGTCTCCCTGCTAGTACACCAGCCTGACAGGCTTAGCAGCCAGTGGAGATTGCACGGAGGGGTAGCCGGACAAGGGACTTCAGTGCTGTGCTTGGCTCCATCTTTGCTACCCTCAGCCTTGTGCTTCTGGGAGAGCTGTCCCCTTGTTGGACACCATGTCCCTCTCATTCTCGAACTTACATGCACCCACTAGCTATTGTGTTACATTTCTATCCTCCTTGTTAACTTTTTCTCCTTTGTTTTTTTGGGTCTATGACATAGTTTCGGATAAATGAGTATGGGACGCTGAAGGTGGTGAGTGCCGATAAGATACCTCCAGTGGAACCTATAAAGGAGGGTCACCTAGAGAAAGACAGGGACTCAGAAGTGGCACCCACCAGCAGGGACAATCCTACCGTTGCTCAGGGTAAGGGCACTGCTGTGGCACTTCTGGGGTTGGTACCATCATGTAGCAGGTACTGTGGCTTAGACCCTGAGCGAGGCAAATGCCTGCTGCTTCCTGCTCTCCTTCCTTCGCTGCTCCTTGGTCCTCATTGCTCCTCTTCTATCTTTCCTGACTCAGGTGTGCCAGAGCAGCCTAAGCTGCCAACAGCAGAGAGCATGTGCCACTGTGATACCTGTGGCCGGAGACATGTTTCGGACGGGGCCCGGGAAGGCAGGGGCTTCTGCAGTGAACACTGTCACCAGCAGTTCAAAGAAAGGTAAAGGAGAGGGAGTCTGTGCCACACACAGCTGTAACCATTTGTCTGTCTGCTTACTCTCTCTGATCTGTGCGCTGCAGCAAGGGATGCAGGTGCAACTCTTTCTGGCGGGTGCTGGGACCCTGTTTGTTTCCTTCTTTCCTGTAGGTAGGGTGGCCTGGCTACAGCTTGGTGGGATGAAGACCCCAGGGGGGGACACCAGAGTCCCAGGAAGCCAGATTTTCTCCTTCCTAGTTTGTGGCCTCATAAATGTGCAGTGGTTGGCACAGGATTGCTGCAGGAGCTGCTGCAAGAGGTGCACCCATGCTGAACTGCACACAGAGGCATGGGTCAGGAGAGGGTTTCGAATCTGACCCCTTACAGACACGTTCTCTAGGGTGTCACCGAGTGCAAGGTGTGACTCCCAGGACTAGGTTTCCATCTTCTCTGAGTGATTCTGATGCAGCTTAGAGCCTTGCTACAAAGCCAGTTCACCTGTGATTCATCCCCAGGTCCGGGTTTCTGACACTAGAACATGCAAGGTGGTTCAGACCTGTCCCACAGTTCACAGAATCACAGAATCGTTTAGGTTGGATGGGACCTCTGGAGATCATCTAGTCCAACCTCCCTGTTCAAGCAGGGTCACCTAGAGCATATTGCCCAGGATCACATCCAGTTCTAACCTCTTGGCAACTTTTCTCTAAGAGGAGTACATACATCAGTCAGGAGGGATGAGAATGTGTGCGTGTCTAAGAAATGGGATGACAGCGATTCTCCAGCAGTCACTCTCTTGCGGCCATGTTGATTGACACCCCAGCTATTGCCACATGCTCGGCTGCAGTAATTTCCTCTCGCTTTCTCCATGCAGGTCTGTCATTGTGGAAAACTCTGCTAGCAGCACCAATGTCACCGAAATCCTCAAGCCAGTGAAGAAACGAAAGAGGAAGGATTACCAGAGCCCTTCAGAGGAAGAATATGAATCTGAGCAAATGGTAGGAAGATGGGGGGGCTGCCTGCGTACATGACAATACCTGGGTGGCCCTTGGCCCACCCTGGTATCTGGTGTGTGTGTATGCAGTTCTCATGGGTGCCTTTTAGTGCCAGGTCAGCTTTGTGTCCAAGTGGTAACCAGAAGCTGTTAATGCCAAAAAGACTTGAATGCATGGATTGTTGTGGCTTCTAGACACTTGGCCTGCTGTTTGGCATGCCGAACATGCTGGATTATACAGCGCTGGGCCCACCCTGATTGGGTTGTAGGTGCTGAGCTCTCCCAACTGATCTCTTGAGTCTGGTCCACCAAACTCAGTGTTGAAGTAAGAGAGCATCTGTCTGCTGACTGTATACTGTGTTTCCTGAGGAAAGGAGAGTGACTTTGACAAGCCAAGGAACAGCCTTGCTTGCTAGCCTTGCCTCTAGCAGATTCACACCAGGTGTGGTTGCTACCACTCGGTGCCAAAATCCCCCTCAGGTTCCCATCACCAGATCCTCTTGGACACCCATTTCTGGGCCAAGCATCATCCAAATCATGGATGTTGTAAAGGCCCCTTATGGCACTGGCATGCGGGTACAGCACACAGTGTAAATCTCTGCACGGGAATCCATAACTTCCAACATAACGGGCTTCTGTTTTGTCTGCTGTCATGCTTAGGAGGAAAAGCAGGAAGAGCTCAAAAACTCTGTGGGAGACTCTACCATCGGCAATCCAGATGTTGAAGCATGGAACGGGAGCCAGCATGGTATGGAGGGGCTGGACGGGTTGTGGGGTGAGTGCTGTGCCATCACGACCCCTTCTCGCCTGCACAGAAGTGAGTGGGGCCACACAGTGGAGGCTGCAGGGTCCCTCTGCAGCGCCAAGGAGCTGGGCTAGCATTACAGTGCTCCAGCAGTGAGTCAAACATGCAGTGCCATGAGCCGATACATGTTCCTGAAGGCTTGTAAGCTCCTCTGCTTGCTTGGTCCTGCTCTCCCTGTCTCTTTCCTTTTCTCTCCTTCCTCTCTTTCTCTCCATGGGTGCACCCTTACAAGTGTACAGCTGTATCTTTTCCAGGAGTTGGGCTGTACAGTGCTTTCTGGTCTATCCCATTGGGAGCTGATTTTATTACTTGCTTGTGAATATGTTATTTGTGATGATCCCGTTTTGCTCTGAGAGACGTTATCGTGAGCTCTAGTGTGACTATATGCTACATCTGGCTTTGCCCCACTTTGGAGAGTCTCTTGGGGAACATCCCTCACAGGATCCAGAGACCATGAGTTTGGGGGCTGCTCCTGTAGGTGTGGTGCCACTGAAGCCCAAGGCTTTGCCATTGTCTAATCTCACAGGACAAGTTGTTCTTGGACCATGTCAGAGCAGATCTCAAAGACAGAACTGTGGGCACTGAGGGAAAAGAGACAGGCTGAGGGATGCAGTGTTTGATTTATTTGTTTTTCCCTTACAGTGTGATAAGGAAGAAAGTAAAACTTGGAAAAATATTGGACATAAACATTTATGGGGAATATTTCCTCTTTGGATAGTGAAAGGTCACGTTTAGAGTCATTTTGAAAAGAAATTGTTCCTGCTGCATTTCGGAAGCCCCTCCACAGCCAAGTGTAGGGACTCTAACAGGGGACAGGTTATCGGAATAAGTCAGTCTTTGCTATTACACTGAGTTAACCTACTAAATAGGGAGCTTATATTCACTGCCAGATCCTTTTCTCTACAAGTATTAGTCGTCTTTGTGGGAAGAGCAGGTTTCTACTTGCATTGTTTCTGAGCCCTGAACACGTAACCTTCTTTGCTGCTTACAAGTGAGCATCATTGAACCCTGTAATTTTCAGCATTTTGTTTTCTCCTATTTTAGAGATACATCAGTGGACAAAATACACACTTGGATACTTCAGTGCAGCAGAGCTCTATGTCTAGGCGCATTTGTCCAAAAGCGCAGAATTCATATTTACCCAAAAGCACCTACCGTTTTTTTTCTGTGTGCTAAAGATTAATACAGGTGTTTGTCACTCTTGAGCATTAAATGAAATATATTTGTTAGTGTCCTTTTTCACTGGATCTCAGCTTCAGTTTCTTCCACAAGTTTCCATTTTTTCCTTCTCTGGCCCCTCTAAATCCGAGGGAAGAAAGGAGAAAGGATTTGGTCTGTTTTCCCCATGCATTCCTGGCCTGCCCTACAGAAGGTTGCCTGCTGTCATGGCTGCTCTGTAGTTGCGAATTATTTTGTGCTGAACTAGAAAATCACACGCCCAGAATCCCTTCAGGTGTGCTAAGGAGCAGGGAGAGCAAGAGATTTGGGGTGTGTCTTGTGTGTATTGGGCAAGGCCTCTGTAGCCTTCCTGAGGAGGCTGAATGCATGAAGAGACACCTCCCTGCCTAAAAAGGGAGGGTGCTGTATTCTTTCATGAGTTTCCTAAGAGTAAATGCATCCCTAGGGCATGAGGGTGGCCGTGGTCTGCTGGGGGGGCTCATGTGGGTATTTCAGAATAGAGGATAGCAGAGCTGGTACCTCCAGAGCAGCTCTGCCCCAGCTGTGGTGGGAGGTGAGCCCGCTGCCAGCCTGACTGGCCAGGACCCTCTCTGCAGCTGGGGGTGACCTCCTGTTGGATTGCATTGGCTGGCCCAAATCCTTCAGCGCTGGGGCCATTTTGAGTGTACCAGCTGGAGGAGGAGCGGTTGCATAGGTCTCCCAACATGCTGTATGCTTTGCACAGGATGGTTTTTCCCTGAGGGCTCTTAGACACCGTGCCAGAGCACTTGTGTAGTGACAGAGGACATTTGGGGTCACGGGGACCTGTGTGAGAGGGGGCCCTCAGCTCTGTCCCTCATCGAACAGCCAGCCAAGTTTGCTGGTGAAGGGGCTCTGGTAGGGTGGTGCTGAGCTTCACAGGGATGCTGGACTGTGTGTGGGAGCAGGATGTGGCCTCAGCAGGACCCATGGCCTCACCTGCACTCCGCGCTGCCCCGAGGCAGGCAGGGAATGGGGCTGGAGCCGACCCTTAGCAGCGCCTCTTGTGTGTGCGTTTGTGCTGCGCTCAGGTGCCAGCGAGGAGAAGAAAGAAGGCTGGTCTTGGGCGTCCTACCTGGAGGAGCAGAAAGCTGTCGCTGCCCCTTTAGATCTCTTCCAGGATGTGAGTTGGGATTTTCCTGTCTTTTTCCCTCTTTCCTCTTTTCTTTTCTTTCCTTTTTTTTCCCCCCCCCGCCTCTTTCTCCTCTCTTCCTTGCTTCCCTATTTTGCGGGGCTCTGTGCAATAAGCAAGCTCCCTTCTTCATCCAGAGGTGACCAGTTAGCCCCACTGCCTTTCAGTTGTGATTTGTCCCCACTCTTACTTCCTGATGGGATCCTGTCCCCCAGCCCTGCACGCCACGTGTGCCTAGGAGACCCTGGTGGCTCTAGAAGGGTGGTGGAGCCCTTCCAGGCCTTTTCTGAGCTCGTGCGTGAGTGCTCCAGGAAGCTGTGTGCCGTGTGGGACCTCTGCTTCCAGCTGGGTGCTCACCAGAGTGAGAGAGGAGCCCAGACCTCGGTGCCCCCGCTCTCCTGTGGCCCCAGGGCTGTGCAGCTCTCAAGCTGGCTAGTGGCCCAGGGACACCCTGTCCTGCCAACAACGAGAGAAGCAAACCCACAGGTAGATGGAAGAACGTGTTTTTCTACAGAGAAAGAATTAAAATTTGGCTGACAACTGATAACCTTTTGCCCACCATCTCCTGGGCCCAGAAGCTCCCATTACATAATGATTGCTCCATGGGATTTTTCTAGACCCCTTTACCTGTGTTGTTTTTTACATTTTAGTTTAATTTTTGTTTCCAGTACCAAGTAGCTTCCCAGCACAAGAATGGCTTTAAAGTGGGGATGAAGCTGGAGGGGATCGATCCACAGCACCCATCTATGTACTTTATCCTTACTGTGGCTGAGGTAAGGCACCTCCAGCTTTGAGAGTGTATTCCCTGGCTCCTTCCTTCCCTGTCCTCATGCCCAGGTAGTGGAGGGCTCAGCGGGAGAGGAGGTGCTGCAAGGAGGCTGGCAGAGGGCTGTAGGCCCTCATCTGCACATCGCTGTCAACGTTGCTGAATCTCTGTGCTGGAATCTCCTGCAAGTGCAGAAGAGGGAATCTTTGTGCTTGCCACATCTGGCAAGGTGCCCCACCATTTCAGAGTCACGCAACAGTTGAGGTTGGAAGGCACCTCTGTAGATCATCTAGTCCAAACCCCCTGCTCAAGCAGGGTCAGCTGGAGCAGGTTGCCCAAGACCATGTCAGATAGCTTTTGAATATTTCCAGGGATGGAGAGTCCACGACCTCTCTGGGCAACCAGTTCCAGTGCTCAGTCACCCTCACAGTGAAAAAGATTTTCCTTAGATTCAGATGAAGCTTCCTGCATTTCAACTTGTGCTCATTGTCTCTTCCCATTTCCTCCTATACCAGCATATAGGGCTGGGTGCACGGTGGCTCAACAATTACCTTGCTCCATGCTGAATGCCTCCTGGGATTGACATGTGCCTCCTGGTTCAGGGTCCTGGCCTATTAATATGCTTTTGGTTTTCCTAAGTGATATGCTGAGATTGTATGTGGGAAGGGAGGTGTACGTGATGCTCAGCCAGGGCAGCAAGAGGTTTCCATGGTCCTTCCCTTCTCCTGGCCTCCCTGCTGGTAGGTGTGTGGTTACCGGATGCGCCTCCACTTTGATGGCTACTCCGAGTGCCATGATTTCTGGCTGAATGCCGACTCCCCCAACATCCACCCTGCTGGCTGGTTTGAGGAGACAGGGCACAAGCTCCAGCCCCCAAAAGGTAAGGAGTTGGAGATTCTGGGTCCACAGGCCCTGTCGAATGTGGGGATGAAGAGCAGACCCTCAAACTGCGAGTGGGAGCTAGGGGCCAGGCTGGCTCCAGAGTGCCAAGGAGGGATGCTGCTGTGTTGAGGGTGTTGCAGGACAGCCCTGCGGGTACTCGTCACCACTAAAGAGCTTGGCTCACTCCCACTTTAGGGCAAAGCCTTGTCGCCCTGAACGTCACTGTGCTGCTGGAGTCCAGCAGCTGCGGCACCCCAAGCAGAACGCAGTGCGCCCCACAAGACGCCTGGGACCAGTGCTCTCCAGGGAGGAACTGAGCGCTGGATTTCCGCTCCAATGCTAACATTTCTCAGCATCCCTCTGAAACAAACCACTGGCGGGTGCCAGACATGGCCAGGCTGCAGGATGTCCCAGGGTGCCCTAGGGTCCATTCTCCCACAGTGGGGCAGCCTTGACAGGGCAAGGCCTGGCCAGACTGGGGTGGCTGGGCTCAGCCGTATGGCCTCCTGCCTGCTCTCTGTGAACTGGCTGCTCTCCTTTCCCTTCCTGAGGGGTTGTAGGTTATAAGGAGGAAGAATTCAGCTGGACAAACTACCTGAAGATAACAAAGGCTCAGGCAGCTCCTAAGCACCTCTTTGTGATCCGAAACAGTGTGAGTAGCAGCTTCTCCTTCCTGGAACCTACAGGTTCAGGTATAACTTCCTCCCTTCCATCCCAGCCCAGTCTCTCCTCCAGTTCTGGGCTTTTCAGTGTCCACCCCATGCCTCTGATCCCTCTAGTGCAAAGGGCCAGGAGAGCGCACTGCTGGCATTGCTTAATAAGACATGCTGTGACTTGCTGCTGAGGATCTGCAACTTGGACACTGGTCTGGTCTGCCCAAAACTGGGGTGGATCTGATACGCTATTTAATCTGGATCCATTTCATGTACAGTTAAATCTCTCACAGATGTACTGTGGGGGAGAATTAGCCTTTTTTCCAATCTGTTATTTTGCCAAAAAAATCCCGACAGTAAATGTTTCATCGATGTAATTCTTTTGTCTCTGTTTTCTCTTGACCTTTATTTTTCATATGACAGCTTGGGTTACCCAAGAAGGAGAGAATACAGTGGAATGCTAAACACTGATGGTTTCTTTGTTAGTTGCAGAGGAAACTCAACCTATTGATCAATCAGTCTCTCCAAGTTATTTATTATGTCTAAATCCTCCTCCTTGAATTGATGCATCCCTGACAAGATGGGGATGCATGATTGCTGCAGTGATCCCACTAATGCAGTGTTTTGCACAGATTTTGCATCCAAGAAATAAAGGCAAGGTACGATGCAGGGCTCCATCCTAGATCTTCCTGCCTAGGGGATTTAGTAGCTGCAAACAGTGGAGGAGCATGACTGCAAACAAGTATTTGGTGACAAAATCTGAACAAGTATAAGCTGGAGGCTGCTTCTCTCTTGGAGGTTACTGCTTATAGAAGATCTTGAGGGTCTGAAGATGCTTTTTCCTCTTTCTTTGTGTGGCCAGGTGTGACCACTTGGTAAGCCAAGTTACTTAACCTCTGCCTGTTTTCAGCAAAGCAGTGTGCTGCCCTCTGGGACCCCTAATTGGTCGCAGACCCCAGCTGGAGACCAGGGCTCAGTCTCATTCTGGGAGGGTTTGGGGAGGTGCTGCGTTGCCACAGGTGAGGGACGTGGTGAGGAGGGGAGCTGGGACCACAGACACGAGCAAAACCTGTCCTCTCTGTCCTCCCAGCACGAGGCTCCACCAGGCTTCGAAGTGGGCATGAAGCTCGAAGCTGTGGACCGCATGAACCCTTCCCTGATCTGTGTTGCCACAGTGACGGACGTGGTGGACAATCGCTTTTTGGTGCACTTTGACAACTGGGATGATACTTACGACTACTGGTAAGCACACAGAGGCTCCTGGACACCAGTGCTGCTTCAGCAAGAGTGACAGGGTGCTCTGGGATGCAGTGGCCTGATAAGGCAGAGGGTTGTCTACCTGTGCGGGAGGAGAAACCTTTTCCTGTCCTATGTCACTTTTATCACTTGCTGGGATGTAGGCATGTCTCTCCTATTAATGTGAGGTTGAAACAAGCCTGATCACAAGCCCTGACCTGGGCCTAGAGCCCACTTCAGTGTCAGGCAGGGCCACCTATGATGTAGCCAAGGCAAAGGCTGAAGGCCTGAGCTTAAAAGCAGTTTGTGGGGCCATGGGCAGGAGATGTGTGCCTATGTGGGAAAGGGAGTCGCAGCTGAGGCTGGCCAAGGCTGCTTAAGGTCAGTTAGTGCATTCAGGGTCCTGAGACCGAGTCTGCATCCTGCTTCATAGCTAGAGCCTGCAGACCTTCTCTCTCTTCTTGTTTGCTTCAGTTTCCTGCCCAAAGAGCTGTGTTTCTGTAGCTGTTGCTGTGCCAGCCATTTTAAATGCCTGACCCTTGCTGCTTGCTCCTTGCTTGGTGATGCTGGTCACAAGCAATGGCTCCTTTGTGCTGTGCCCCAGGCCAGACTTGCGAAACAGAAGCACCTGAGTGAGCTATGATCTGTTTGGGGGCCACAACCAGGGCTTGAGCACCCCAAACCACTCAAATCTGCCTGCTCTGAGCTCTGAAACGCACAGCGTGTCTCCCTTCCCACAGCACCCTGGGCAGCTTTTCCCTGGGCAGCTCCACTGCTGAGCTTGCATCCAGGACATATTTTCAGGGTACATGGCCTGCTCCTATGAGCTGGAGCCTCTCTTCCTCTAGCCCTTGACCCCACAGTACCCTGGGCTATTCAGGAAGGAGTATACTGTAAAAGACCCAGGCTCATGCAAGGCCTTCTGCAGATGACTCAGGCCTGGGCTGGGCTGTGCTGCCAGGCAGCCTACCCCAATTCCTGGCAGCCCACACTGTCCAGCAGTGATGATGGCCCAGGTGTTGCAGTGCTGCATAAGTGTACAGGTGTGTTTTGCAGGTGTGACCCCAGCAGTCCGTATATCCACCCAGTGGGATGGTGTCAGGAGCACGGCAAACCCCTCACACCTCCTCAAGGTGAGTAGGTGGTCAGGGAGCACAGCCTGCCCTAGCGCGTCCCCTTGGGGACAGGCTTACCCCAGGGAGACAAAGGTGCCAGGGGCTTAAATCCCACAGTCTCTGCTTGCCTGCAGGCCCAGGGGGTTTTATTGAGCAAGGCCACAGCCAAGGAGGCAGCATGCACTGGTCAAGGGTCTTGTACCTGTGTTCAGGTGCAGCGCCACTGTTGTCGGGCCAAGTGGAGAGGTCAGGAGGACCCATTGCAGGCCTGGATGTTTTTACTTCCTCTGCATTCTGTATGTCACGGTCCATTAGAAAATAGTAGCACATCTGGATGTCTTTCAGGTTCTCGTATACCTGGCGCAGGCTTGGTTGGTCCTTCAAGGTAATAGGACATTCTGGGATACTTGCTGTCCTCCTGCAGTCATGTGTGTCTCACCTTGCACATCATCCCCCCTTCTAGATTATCCTGACCCTGACAACTTCAGTTGGGAAAAGTACCTGAAAGAAACTGGAGCATCTGCTGTCCCAGCTTGGGCCTTTAAAGTGGTGAGTGCCCCATCCTCTGCTCCGCTGTGCCTTGGCAGGCCTTCAGGTTTTCTCCTTCGTCAGGGCTATGCTTTTATGAAAGATGATGTTTAGTGTGCTCCTGCCACAGCCTGGGGTTCAAATCTATGCTCAGGGTGCAGAAATCAGGGCTATGCTGGGCAAGTGGATGCAAACTGGGAAAAATGAGAAGTATAATCACTCTCTTGGCTAGATAGGAGCCAGGTGATGGGAAATCATTTCAGCTTGCTTGGTAGTTTTTGTCTCCAAATGCAGTAACAGCAGCGGTGTCAGGCCAACTGCAGCCACAACGTAAATCCCCAAAATGGGTCTCCTAGAAGCCTTTTTCCCTTGGCAGAGATTTCCCATGTTGTGTCAACACAGTTCAGATCCAGGAGACCCATCCCTACTCTCTCCTGCTTGTAACTGTGAGCTTGGGAAGGCTCCAACTCAGATGGGCTAGACGCGGGAGCTAGGCTTTGGGAGCACGTGTTGGTGGAAATATGGGGAAGCACAGCCCTGCTCCTCAATGACCTGGTGTGCTCCTTGCCCCCAGCGCCCACCTCATGGCTTCCTGGTCAACATGAAGCTGGAGGCAGTGGACAGAAGGACTCCCTCCTTCATCCGAGTGGCCAGTGTGGAGGATGTGGAAGATCACAGAATAAAGGTGGGTTCTGGGGTCTTGATGCTGAACCTGCATCCAGACACTGTCCTGGCTTGCTCCTGCCCTCTCCATTTCACTGTGCCAGTTGCAATGGCAGAGTATGTGGAGGTCTGTGGGAGCATTAAGTACACAGGATGGCAGGTCTCATTGCCCAGCTCCGAGAGTGGAGCAGAGCCTTCTGCTGCAGTTCAGCTCTACCTTGTCACTTGCCATCACCTTGGAGGGCTCCAGGGTTTCTCAGGGAGGTGTCTTGAGGTTTAAGGATAACCTTTCTGCTTGTCTCCCCAGCTCCATTTTGACGGCTGGAGCCACATCTATGATTTCTGGATTGATGCAGATCATCCGGACATCCACCCTGTAGGCTGGTGCTCGAAAACTGGGCACCCGCTGCAGCCTCCTCTCAGTAAGTCCTTGGCCTGGGGCAGCCCCTCACACTGGTGCCCAAGAGTGCCGGATCCCTACTGTCACTATCGCCTGACCATGAGCAGAAATGTGTGCTGGCTGATGGTGGGCAGGGAGGAAAGGTGTTTCCCACAGAGCTGGCAGCTGGAAATGTTCCTGCTGTTTGGAGCAGGCAGGGAGCACAGATCTCTGGCTCTGCCAGGGGCCGTGGCCGTGACCGTGTCTCTCCTGTTTTTCCCTCTGGTGTAGGGCCAAAGGAACCAGCCTCCTCTGCCCATGGGGGCTGCCCAACTCTGGGCTGCAAGAGCATCCCTCACACCAAGGGCTCCAAGTACAGCTTTCACCACAGGTGAGCTCCCCCAGCATGGCTTGGAGGGGCAGGGGTTTCCTGTGGGCCCGGCACTGGGGCCTTCCTCCTCTCCTCTGCCACCCATGCGGCTTCTTAGCACCCTTCTTTGCCCACATCCTGCCCACCACCCCAAATCTGGCTCTCCCTCCAGCTCAGGGTAAGCCCTTGTTCCCCCCATGCTAGGCCTGCATAAAGCACAGAGGCTCCATTCCTGGTGTAACTCCTTATGAGCTGGTGCTCCCTGCTCTGTACCTGCCCTGTGCCACTCAGAGCCCCCCAAGGGCACCCTAGACACCCATCTGCCTGTGGGGCCTATGGGCTATGTAGGGGACAGCCTTAGGTACCTTTATGACACTGCTCGTGACCAGCTTCCAGGATGGTATTCTTCCACTCCCTCATGGATGCTTTTTCCTGTGAGATTTTGAGCTGGGAAGCACTGAGACAGGACAGTAAATCTCCCCCAGGTCACTTGTGTGAGCCTTTTCTGGGGAAGTCAGGAATGGTGTAATGCTGACCCCAGCACAACAGGCTGGCATCAGAGCAGAGAAGCATGTCAGGTGGAGAGTCCTTGAGGACAAGGGAGGCAGATCAGGTTCCCAAGGGTTCCTCTCCTGGCTCACAAAACGTGCTTCCTCCTTACTCTGTTGATTTTGGGGTCTGTGGATATAGTCCAGATGTCTGGGGAGGGAAGAAGAGATAATGGAGATTCTGTGAACCCTACTGACCTGGGTTGATCAGTACTGTGGAGGCTTGTACAAGGTCGCAGTTACAGCTGTGTGGAAGGTGGGATGGGGAGTTGTACCTGGAGGGGCTAGACTTGTCCTACCTTTGAGCTCACGCACTCAGCGCCCTGGACCCAGGGCATTTGTTCAGCAAATCTTTGACCTCGCTGTGTGCGGCCAGGGCTGTGGCCTCCTGTGGTCTGGAGCGGAGAGGTAGCCCTCTGCCAAATGTGCTGGGCCCGGCTGGCATCCCTGTGCTGCCCTGTGCTGGGTCAAACGCTCGCCTACCCTCTGTTCTCTAGGAAGTGCCCCACACCCGGTTGCGATGGGTCAGGACACGTGACCGGGAGATTCACGGCCCATTACTGCCTCTCAGGGTGCCCGCTGGCAGAGAAGAACCAGAGCAGGCTCAAAGCAGACTTATCTGACACGGAGGCCTCAGCTCGAAAGAGGAACCTGATTGGCTTTTCTCAGCGAAAGAAATCTCGGCACCATGGGAGGTAGGGGCAAGCCTGATGAGGCCAGTGCAGGTAGTGCTGTGCTTGCGCTGTGCTGGGTGTCCTTGGAGGGGGCAGCTAAGCCAAAAGAGGCACCTTACCCGTGGGGGTGCATGCTTGCTGGCAGCTGGTGTTCATCCTTCCAGCTCTGTTGGGTCACCTTGGGTATCTCTCCTGCCTCTTCTTTCCACTTTGTATGATCTTGACCCTTTGAGTCAGGGTCCAAGAGGCAGTCTTTGTTCCCACTGCCGACGCACGGCTCTGTGCTATGCAGGGAAGGGCCCTCAGGCCAGTCCCAGCCGAGTTTGAAATCCATCTTCTTGTCTCTTTAGAGGGCGACCTCCAAAGTACCGAAAGATCCAGCGGGAAGACTTCCAGAGTAAGTGCCATCCTCTGCCATGGTGTCATTGCAGAGCAGGGACATGGCTTGAGGATTTGACATAGCGGGTGGGAGAGAAAGATCTCCCCTTGGTCTGTTTGGTCAGACCTAGTGCAGGTCAGTACCTTGTGGAGGGCTGTGCCGAGTCTGTGGCTCATGGCCTGACTGTCAAAGCTCTGTGACAGGGGATGTCCCCGCCTCTTACCAGAGCTGTGCTTGGTCCCTCATTATGTCTCTTGATTTACGTTTGTGATTCCTTTGAGTGCATTAGGGCAGGGATTTAGGATCCTCTCTCTATGGCAGCACGTTTTCCCAAGCCATCTCTCTGCTTCCAACAAGGATGTTGGGCCTTCATCCTGTGGGTGCCATATGTATCCCAAAACATCAGTGGGATTGTGAAATGTCATGTTATTGTCACAGCATAGCAAATTAATGCTGAACAGTTTGCTTTGTATTTAGTTCTTATGATTGAAATAAAACACTGACTGGCTGCAAGAGACAAAGACGTTTCTTCTAGCAGTTACCAGTTTTACCATGGGCTGATCTGGTGCTTACCCCAGCACTGGGAACAGATGGAAAGGATCTCTTCTTGGCAGACATCCCTGCCTCATTGGGGCAGAGAGCAAGAGAAAAGCTTTGTTCAGAAACTGAAATGAACTAAGTGATTAAGGATGGCATTCTGGTGAGAAATTCGGCATTAGAATTTATTTCAGTATGGAAACTGAATGATGGGAGGTAGTAAGAACAAGGAAATGACAAGCTTGTTGGCTCGAAAATTCTTCCCCCGCCACCTCCAATCCCACCTACCTGGGCCCTTTGATACACTAATAATCCTGTTAATACAAGGGACAACCTGGCTCTTGATAGTCTGGATCCATGAGACCATCTGTTCCCAGCCCCAGGTCCTCCCCTGGCAGGAGGTCTCTCTAAGGATGGGATGGGATGTTCATGTCTCTCTACGTTGTATCACATTTTGCTTTTTTTATTGCCAGCTATTTCCTCAGACAATATGCACCAGTCGCTCTTCATGTCTGCCCTGTCTGCCCACCCTGACCGCTCCCTGTCCCTCTGCTGGGAGCAGCACTGCAAACTCCTGCCAGGGGTGGCTGGCATCACAGCAACAACAGTGGCCAAGTGGACCATTGATGAGGTAAGGCAGTTTTGGAGAGAGCTTGCTGGCTCCTAACCCACTGGTGTGGCTGTGCAACGATGTTAGCACATGTGCTGGGTGCTGAGGAGCCTCGAGGGCCAGTTCCCTGGGCTGATGAGGAGATGGCCAGCTTGACACGCTTGTGCTCAGCAGGGGAAGGTGTGGACGCCTGCCAGTCAGAGGTGTCCTGGTGGCAGCTGCTGGGAAAGGCACATGCAGGATAGACTGCCAGAACTACCAGTTTGTGGCTTGGCTTGAATGTGACATTAGCTCAGGGCAGCAATCTCTTCATTTAGCCTATTACGGTTTTCCAAACAAACTAGTTTAATCTTTTTTAAGTGATAAAATTAGACCATTGACTCAGCAGATAAGGAATCACTTCCCTGGTTCTCCTCTCAAGAAATCTTTGTCTCAGTCCCTTCCTTATCTCCTCTCATTCACTTTCTCAGGCCTCTGTGGTAACCCTTCTTGAGGCCAGGGTAGCTGGACCTCTGGGCCCAGAGTGCCAGCCCTGGCTGCCAGGCTTGCCTGATATCCCCATTACCCTCCAGTATGTCCTTTTACTGCCCTAGACCCTAAATGAGAATCATCTTGCCATACTGGATACGGCTTGCTGGAGATGAAACTGCTGTGGCATTTGCTGCTGTGGGGCTGAAGAAGGCCAGCGTCCTTCCCCTGATCTGACAGTGGTCTCCCCTAGGCATAGGAGAGCGCTGCAACTGCAGCCCTTTGTCCTATCCAACAGGCATGTGTTACCTTACAGTAGGCAAAATACCACTGCGGAAGTGAGGGTGTGGGCTTGGGGTGTTTCCAGTCAGGGAAGTTACTTCTTCAGGGAAGTCTTGACGCTGCTCTCCCTGTCTGTTCCAAGGTCTTCAGCTTTGTTCAGACTCTGACGGGTTGTGAGGACCAAGCCAAACTCTTCAAGGATGAGGTGAGATCTGCTGGAGAACAGGCGCAAGCAGCCCAGGACAGTGAAGGGGGAGGGAGGGATTGGCAAGCAGCTTTTGGCGCGTAGCGCAGCCACTGAATTCTGAGAGTGTTTGGTGCCTAACAGCAATCCCATCCTGCTTTTTCCTCGCCCATTCATCCTCCTCATCCCTGCACAGTCTCACTAGAGCATCAGTCCAGCATCATTCCTGTCCATCAGCCATGTTCATAGTTTTTAGACTCCTCTGCAGACAGAACCACAGAGGAGCTGCTCTCCACCATATGCAGTATGTCTGGGACAGGCTGATTCTGGGTGCGCTGATGCAGTGAGTGTCCCAGCCTGTTTATTAAATAGCCTGTGCTTTAATTGTGCTCAGGCAATTGGAGCCCAGCTGGGGTAGCCTTCATGCAGGCAGGGGGCTGGAGCAGGGAATAGATTGGTGTTTGCGTGGAGAAAAACACCTGTTGGCTGTATGCTGTGCCTGCTGTGGTCTGGCCTGCGAGCCAGTTGGCTAGCTGCCGTGTGAGCTTTGTGGCCGCCCTTGGAAGGGCATTTCCCCCCTGTTCGTGGGTATGCACATCCCCCAGTTTTGGCTCACATGACACAGTGGATTGGGACATGGTGGGAACATTGTGTGTGGCTCTTGCCCTGCTCTATATGAACGGGGGTGGCCTAGAACAGGGAAGAGGCTATGGCACAATGCTTCAAAAGGCTTGGAAGGGAACAGCTCGAGGTGTCTTCTCCCTGCAGCAGATGTGAAGGTGAGTGTGAATGTGCGCATCCCCAGGGAGTATCTGCGCTGGTTGTCCCTCAGAAATTGCAGTCTGGCTTTCTGATGAATGCCCTTGTCCCTGCTCTCCTCTCCAGATGATCGACGGCGAGGCTTTCCTCTTGCTGACGCAGGCTGACATTGTCAAAATCATGAGCGTCAAGCTGGGCCCGGCACTCAAGATCTACAATGCCATCCTCATGTTCAAAAACGCTGATGACACCTTAAAGTGACTTTTCTTGGCCCAACTGAGACCTTCCCTCAGCACCGGTGCTGCCAAACTGTCTGGCCAGGACAGAGATCCCCCCCACAACAACTCACAGCTTGTCATGTCCTGCCTATGCCCTCTTGGATGTCTCATCTCTGCCCTCACAGCAGTCCATCTCCTTGACCCTCTTCCTCTCTCTTTCTGTCTCTCTCTCCGTGCTGCCACTCTCTTCCAGTGCTGGTAGAGGCTGACCTGGCAGAGGGTGGATGTGGGACTAACCTGCCTTAGCGTGAAAGCCACCCTTAACATGCTCCGAGCGCGGTGACCGCACTAGCTCAGGGGTTTGTTCAGGGACACTGGAGCAGCACAGAGGGAGCAGGGGACCAAGGGCTGACACCGCTGCTCAAGTAACCGAGGAAAGGGAAGGAGCTGACTACCCACAGGCATGCTCACACCCATTTAAAGGCTTGTCTTTCTTTTGCTCAGCAGCTGAGAGAGTTTTTTTACTTTTTTGTCAGCGTGTTCCTCTGTGGGGGCTTATCTTAACATATCTGAGGGACACTCTCTCGAGGATCTTCTGCTCACTTTGCCTTTTTCTCTCTGACTTCTTGTGACTCCCCCTTTTAAAGCCTGATGATAACTTTGCTTTGCCCCTCCGCTGCACTGGGAACCAGTGGCCAACTTCTTGCCCCTTTGGCAAGGGGCTCAGCTGTGGCTCTGCCCATGACCAGCATCAGTGTTTTATTGCCCTTTACTGTAAGGCAGCAGCCCCGGGGCCCCATGTGGCCGGGGCTGTACGGATACAGAACAAAGCTCCATTTCCTCTTATGCTTCCTGTTGTCTAGGCCAGCACATCTCTGGGGGAAAGGCTGCTTGGTTAATTTGTGCCCCTTGTATAGCAATTAAAAAGCCCTCTACAAAGGACAGGCAGACCCACTTTAGTCCCCATGTTAGGGGAAAGGCCCTTTCTAGCGTTGAAGCAGCTGCATAGGGCAAAAAGCCTCTATTTACAGAGCTTGGTTCCTAAGGAGTTCTTAAGATTGCTGACTCTGTCCTGCCAAGCTACCTTCTTGCCCTGTTTTGCCCTTGTGAGGCCCCCTAAGCTTTGGTATTGGAAAGGTAGGATTATTTGCTTTCATTCTCTAGGTTCCTTCCCCACAGAGCTAAAAAATTCAGCAGTGGACAGGTTTTTCTATCCCTTCAGCAGCATAGCGCCTTTCAGAAAGGGTGCAGGCACTTTGGAAATGCTCATGTAATGCTGTCCCCTGTGATGGAGTGAAGGCCAAGTAGTCTAGGATTTTTTTAGCCTGGAAAGTTGAGGTGAGAGGGGGTCCAGACCAGAGTCCCAGGTGTTTTCAGATAGTGCCCATGTCACCACCTGCCAGGAGGGAGAGGCCAGGCAGTGCCTATGCAATGCTTTTGGGGTCTTTTATCCCTGCCTGCATGCCCTCCGTGGGTGAGCACTGGAGCGAGGACACCAGGCAGAGGGACCAGTGGTGTGGCCATGCAGTGGTTGTGGTTCTGCTGTGATGCGCCAGGAGGAGGTCAGTGCAGGCTGGGCTGTGCGTGACTGGGGGTGGGCTCCTGGGCCCCTGAGAGCTTTCCACAGTCTGAAATGGTGTGATCTGGGTCCTGGATGCTCCTTATTTCCCATTCCCATGAGTGACATTTCAGTAGTGAAACACATCTTTTCCCCTTTCCCAGTGCTCAAAGATGAGTGAGAGATCTTAGCATGTGCACCAGCAACATGTGTCAGAGCAACACTGCCTTGGAAGCCGCTGTCACACATGGGTCAATTCGTGCTAGGCTTCCCATGGAAATGTAGCATTTTGACTTTCTTACTGAATATTTGGGGTCACATTTGACCTGCTCTTGAAATGTCAGCTGCTTGCTGTTCATGTGGGGCTTGTAGCTAGTCCGTGTATTTATTTTGTCAATGCTTGGGTTTGGTTTAGGCAGCTCTCCCTCTCCTCTCCCTTTTTGTTTTCTTCCATCTCTTCAAGCACTGCAGTGTGGCCAGCTGTGGAGAGAGGGTGAGTGGGAAGGAACAGATGTGTCCTTGAGTCCCACCATCACTCCCGGAGTCACCCTCAATCCGTAGTGAATGGTGGCAAACTTGGTCTCTTCAGCTGTCAGAGAGTATCTTCATGGGCTGCTTTGTGCTGGGGGAGAGGAAGAGGAGCTCTAGGACCTTCAGCTGTGAGATTCTCCAGGTAAACCGTTCTCTGAAACATCTCCAGGTGTGATCTGGATTGGCACATTGGCTCTCAATACCCTTGCACAGAACCTGGTCAGTGAGCTTATAAGGAAATATCTAATGAATCCTGTTCTCGTCTGCTCCATTTCCTTATGCGAAGTCATTCCTTCTTTTGGGGAAGGAACTAAGCACTTGCCCTGGATGTGCAGGAAGAAATTGCTACCATGGTATCAGATCTAAAACCAATGCAAAGGATGGAGGGGAAGTCTTTTGTCTTTCCCAGGGCTGCCCCAGAGAGCAGAGGTGGTGGGATGCTCCCAGGATCCCTGCTGAAGGGGAAAAGGAGCTGTAAAGCCAAACCATGGCTGGCCCGCAGGACCGCGTTGCCCACACTGGCAGCTGTTGCTTTGCTGTTGTGGCGACCAAGCCATACTCTGCCTGGGCCCTGGCAAGATGGGCAGAGGTGAGTGCTCCAGTCTGTGCTGGCCTCGGGCACCAGAGGGTGCAGCTGGAAGCTGCTCCTATTGGATACTGCCTTCCTGAGTTCTCATGACCTCCCTGTAGGAGCAGATGCAAACTGACTGAGTCTGCTATGCATGGCCACCCTGCTGCATGGCTGGAGGCAGGGTCTCTAGCTGGGACATTGCTGGGTCCAAGCTCTGCACAGGGAGCAGCTTGCCAGGAAAAACAGCCTCAAGGGAAGTGTAAAGTGAGATGTGAGGATTTCTGTCACACTGGCTCATCTGCTGTCTCGAGCATCAGTTCACCTGCCTCTTGGGCTGGTTCCTTTCAGTCCTTTGGGTACAAAACTTCTGAATTGGTCTAGGTGAGGGAGTTACAGGGTTTGTAGGCGGTCAAGGGCTATTTACTGTTAAAGCGTATAACTTTCTTTTTGTTTCCTTAAAAAAAAACAAAAACAAAAAACAAACCCAAAGCATTGTGTGTATGTGTGGATGGGTGGTTGGGGGTGCCGGTGTAGAAAAATCACAGTGCCATTTCCTCTGCTGCTGATCTGACAGTGTTTTACTGTGGTAGTCTCTGCCTGCCACAAGGATGTAGCTGGGGAGGTGGTAGGCCCTGGGCCCTAGGTAGTTGTGGCTGGGGGAGCAGGTCTCATTTCAGGGAGCCTCAGGCCCCAGCAGGGAAGCCAGGAGAAAGAAGGGTGGCTGCACTCTGGCTGCAGCGGGTCCTCCATCTCCATAGAGCCCCAACCAGGAGCCCCAGGTCAGGTAGCGTTGAGGCAGCTGTGGCCATGGCAGAAGCACCAAGAGTTTTTCATTCTTCCCTTGTCGACTGGCCAGGCTCCTCCTGGACACCTCCACTGCCATGTCACCGAGGAGCTGGAGCAGATGCTGGGGCTGAACCTGGCCAGCAGGTCTTTTTGAGGCTCTTTTCAACAGATGCGACAAAGGGCCTGAGTTTTTTCCGTTCATGGAGGATTTCTAAGTCAAATGTATTTCTTGAGTTGAGGCCCCTGAAGCCTGTGCTCCCACAGTCCTGCCTGTGCTGCCAGAGGTGAGGCTGGCTTAGCTGGGGCCATGGGAGACTTCCCGCCCTCTTACGGGTGCCGCAGGCACCACTGCCCCTCAAGCCCCGGCCTTGGGTGTGAGGGAGTCTGCCAGGATGGTGGGTCCAGGGATGGCTCTGGATGTGTTTGAGCAGTCTGAGCCTCCCAGGAAGGTGTTTTTCTCTTTAGTGAGAGCCTGAGGTCTCTGCAAGGAAAAGGGCAGGCCTGAGGCTTGGTGAGGAGCAGGACTTTTCTCTGGCCAGAATGTGGCTGGCTGCCTCTCTCTTGCTCCAGGAGGCCTGAGCAATTTCTGCATCAATCATAAGCACTTTTTAAAAGAAGAGGAGGAGAAAAATCCACCTTATCCAGGAGGGTTGATGGCTTAGGGCAGCTGCCTCCTGCCAAGGCAAATCTGTGGACCTGAGTGCAATCAAGGGAGTGCCAGAAGAGGAGGGAGCTGCATGGAGAGGTGACTTGGCAGCTTCTCTGCTGTTCTCCTTTACTCCTTTGTTTCTTGGATAGAGGGGGGTGTCCTGAATGCAAAGGGAAGGGAAACAGCCAGCGGATGCAGCCCAGCTCTGTCCCCACTCCCCTCCTCTTCTTGGGCCTGGGGCTTGCTGTTACCTGGTGGGAGGAAAAGGGGGTTGCATTTTGGAAGGAGTGTGTTTGTGATGACAAAGCTTTTTTGCACTTTCATTCATTTTGCACTTGTTTTTAATTTCTATTTTTTGAGTTTTTTGATATTTGCACCTCCTCTTTGTGTTTTCATAATGGAAATACTATTGTTGTAGCCAGTGCAGGTATTCTAGAACTTTGTGTCCTGAGTATACAGAGGTTTAAAGATCTTATATATATAAATTTATGTTTGTACAAAAATAAATTTATATATATAGATCAGTGTGTGACATGTTTTGTCAGTGTTTCAAAATAACAATAAATAAATGTGAACAATGGAGTTATACACAGCTGGAGACTGGTTACTCAGCCCTGGGCTGTGTGCTGGCAAGGTGCTCGGTGGGCGGGGGGGGGCGGGGTGGTGCCTGGGGCCTGCCCCTAGCCCCACCCCAGTGACCTGCCCCACCCTGGCACCCTCTGCCCCATGCCCAGCCCCACCACTGTGGTCCCACCCCCCCAATCAGCACTGCCTCTAGGGGAAAGTGAGAGGCTCCTGCTTTGCCTCTAGGATGTCCAGGGCAGAATTGGTCCAGATCACAGATATCAGGAAGTGGGGGATAGAAGGGTGTGGCAGGGCGAAACCTCTGTGGGGGTAGGGCTCTGTAGTCCTGTGGTGGTGTGAGGGACCACAAGGGCCTGGGCCATAGTGGCCTGGCCTGTATGGGACCCTGTGGGGCTGCCATGCCAGGTGGTGAATATGTTATATGGCCCTGTGCAGGAGTGCCTGCATCTGGGGTTCTGAGGAGCCCGCGCTACCCTGCCATTGGGTGGGTGTCCCTGTGCTGCCATGGGGTGAGGGACCCCACGCTGCCACAGGGTGGGGACCCTGTGCAGCCATGAGGTGGGAGAGGTTCCTCCACTCTCTTGGGGTGGGGTTACCCAGGCCATACAGGGTCAAACATCCACCTCAAAACTTTCCTGTCCCACAAAGGCAGCTCCTGGAAGCAACAGGATGGGGAAGGACTGGTTTATTGCATTGTCAGGAGATAGAAGGGGATATCAGCATTCATTTACCAGTCTGAGTTCAGACAACAGCAGTTACTGGGAGCTCCCCATGCGGGGAGCATATGGGCCACCTCCAGCCTAGGCGGCCATGGCAGCATCGCCTTCTCTCCTGGTGATTTGGAGAGGAGCTCTGTTCCATTCTAGAGGGTACCCAGGTGTCCCAGTGTGGGCCTATGGCTGTGCATGGCCTCAGCCACAATCAGCCCCAGCAGGATGAGGATCCCGGCACCCAGGGCCAGGCGCACAGTGTTGCCCCACGTATAATCTGCAGAGGATAGGGAGGGACAGTCACTGGGGTTCCAGGGCAAAGAAGAGACCCCAGAGAGTTCCCAGAGCACAGGGGCCTCATAGGTGCAACAGGGGACCCCAGGGGACAAAGCAGGGACACATGGGGGCTCCCAGGGCAAATGGACCCATGTGAACAATGGGGAACCATAGGGGTCTCCAGGGCTAAAGGAGGATACAGGCAAGTTCATAGAGATCAAAGGGGAACCCAAAGGGCTCCTAGCTGCCCTGTTCCCTGCCCCACTGTGACCTCTCCCCAGTCTCCGACCTGTCACCCTTCCTGGTGTGTCCTGGCACTGAGACCACAGAGAATGCCAGGAATATGGAACCTGCCCTCACCTGCCACCACCAGCCAGACAGTGTTGCTGAGCTCTGATGAGAGGTAAGGCTGCTTCCGGGAGTGGTAGGTGCAGGCATAGGTGCCCCCGTGGTGCCCCATCACATGGGGCAGCACAAAGGTGGCCACATTCCCCTTTGTCTCTGTCTTCTTTATCATCTTCCTGTCCATCCAGAAGTAAACCTGGGCACTCTGGCCCACACCGGTGCACAACAGGGTGGCATTGGTTCCTGGTCGGACATGGCCCCGTGGCTCCAAGAACAGACTGGGCCTGGCTAGCCCAGGATCTGCCAGGAGGAACACACGGGGCAGTTGGAGGGGGACATGCAGCCCTTTCCTCACCCCATGGCCACCCTGAGCTGTCCAGATGCAGAGTATCCCCTCTGTGCTGGTGGGAGCAGTCCCCCAGCCCAAAGCCCATGCGTTTCGAGCCCATCTCAGGCTGACAGCTGCTCATGTCTTCACCAATCCCTAAGCCCAACAATGGGGTCATGGCCATGTTTCCCCCTCTCACCTTTCACCAGCAGCTCTACAGAGTGGCTGGGCTGTGACAAGTTGCTGGGGTCGGACTCATTCCCATAGCGGCAGATGTAGGTACCCCCATCTTCCTGGTCTACACGGGCGATGGTGAATGTTGCCATGTTCCTGACCACCTGGGCTCTTTTCCAGGCGCTGATGTTGCCAGCCTTGTACAGCAGCATGGCTGTCCCCTGGCAGGGACACTTGCAGAGAATTGTGGCCGGTGTCCCTAGGATGGCTCCATCCCAGGGCATCACAGAGATAGAGGGTCTGGGAAGCTGTGACTCTGATCACAAGCAAACATGGCAGCCTCTCAGGGCTGGATCAGACCCCATGCCCCCCCACCCCAGCTCGACCACATATCTTTCCCCTATCCTCTCCCCCCTCCCCCCCCGCCCGCGCCCCAGCAACCCCA